AATCAAAATAAATTCACGATATACAGACAATAGCTAGTTTACCTGCAACACTATGGAAACTGGAATCAAGTAGCAGTTAAGAATTCCAGAAAAGTACACTTGGAATACTAACACTGAGTCCTCAACATACTTCCAAACCATCAACAGCCTAAGTGACTCTCATTGGAAAAGCTCCAAATACAGACAATAATCAGCAAAGAAAAAATGTTTTGGGTTTTTTTGTGGATATACCAGTAATGGGGTGGTCAATATTTTTTCAACCAGGAAAAACAAAGTGATCACAACATTCAAATGCAAGTCAACAACTTTGCATTTTGTTCCTACAGCTAAATCAAGACAGTTTACAAAAGGAAAAAGCTGGAACCAGGAAAATAATACTGATAAAATGAGGTTATTATTAATAAATCAAATTTAAGCTAATTCAAATTGTGTTCCTTCCAATAGATGGCTGTGATTAAGACTGTTCTAGACCAAAATCCTGAGCAGACTGCTTGCTTTTCAAAGAACTGGTAGACAACAAGCAATATTTAGAATACTGTCAAATTAGGTGGATTTCATTCAGGAGCTTAGATATCAGAAAGCAATTCTAAGACACCAAAGCTTCAGGATTTTAACATGATCTCCCATTTGTGCATGGAATATTCCTGATCTCAGCAAGACCTAAATCCACATGGGAATCAATGCTTAGCAGTGTCCTGTTTAGAACACAAAGCAAGAACAGGGTGCATAGGTTTCCCTCCTATTTATTAGAAACAGTAGTACAGCCATCTATATTTTCACAGAACAGTAAGTAGGTTATTTATGCCTCCTGAATCCGAGAGGAATTTTACTCCATCTTAACCCATTTCTCCAAAGAATGACTAGTACCTAAAAAACCCACCCCCTGGATGCACTAATTTTTATTCCTGTCACATAAGCTGTGTTTCTGTGAGCTAGAAATGCAAAGATCCACCAGCCCAAAAGGAAACTCTTGAGTTTGAAGCCTGTTGACAAAAGGAATCCTGAATTCTCAGTATGCTGGGATTGCTGCTTACACTCCATTTTAGCATCCTCTGGATGGGGACAGCAATGCCTACTACTCATATCAAGCTCTTGATAAACCAAAAGCATGGTACTTGATTTTCCTCTTCTCATGAAATATCAATATATCTGCAAGTGAAATAACCAATCACATTAAATGATTCAAGCTGACAGAGCAGCAAAACAGTGAGAACTTCATCTGTGTGTAGCTACACATTCACAGCCAAAGCCAAAACAGCAGTTCTGAGTCATACACACTCTTCAACAGCATTCAACGCTACAGTAACAGTACCCAAAAAATGCACATGCTTTGAAAAGCGTTACACATCTTACCTCACTGTATCACTAAAGAAAAACAAAAGAGCTATGGAGCTTTTCAGGCATAAAGGAGCTCTAGTTAGTGCATCAGGTTGTGGCTCCACCTCACTTATGATTTTACCAGTACCTCAAATTTAGAAAAACTGTTTCTACAAAAAGATGGTGACTAATGATGTCACTTTAAAGCACATTCAAGTACTTGGCATACCAAACAGAATTCAATGGTTTTTGTAATCATGGTCCTTGGGAACCTTAATTCAGAAACACTTTCTTTAACTGACCCTGTATTTGGAACATTTAAAGAATCTCATGGGATGAGCAAAACTTCAAGACTGCTCCAGTTAAAACATACTTTAAACTCTTCTAAACAGGAGATGACAGTCTTATCTACAGCAGATCAGCTGCTACACTATACAGTTAGATTTAGCTTCACCCTGGATACATGAGTAGATATAACTGTTAAACCCCAAAGGAAACTAATGCCAAAAACGTGTAAGGCAATTTTACCCTGCATAAAATGAGTAAATCCAGAAAACTGATGCCAGAACTTAGCAGCAATGTTTTTCAGTATATCTATCTACAAATCAAGAACAACATTGCTGATCTGCATTTCAAGTCTCCAAGTGCAGCCTGGATTCTTCCTGATAAATGTGTAACTGCATTTGGCTTTATAAAGAAAAGGGCACCAGGGTGAAAGAACACACTGGGCATTCCTAACTGCTGATCTTACCAAGACACATAAGACAGATCTATACAGTCTGTGTCATTATTTCTGCCTCCCCCCACTGCACAAGTTTCATCTGTAAGGATGTTACACCCACTCTCAGATTACTGATCTTAATGGAGTGTAAAACCTAACACTGTTTTAGCAGAGCTCCAGCAGACATTAAACCAGCTGCCTCTCAGATCTGCAGGTGAGCCAGTCCTGAGACATTTGAAGTCAAGCTTAACAAATGTGTATCTACACAACTAGACTACCAAATTTGTAATCGCAATGACTGAGAACAAGTTTGACAACACCTATTGTCCAAGACAGACATGTTGACTGAAATGTAATTATGTTTTCCCCTTGTGAACAAAAATCCCTGTCAGAGTTTCCAATTTTGCCTGTGACTGACGTCAGGCAATCTATAGCTTACAGCTATTCAGGTTATACCTTTTTTTGAATATTGGCCTGAAACATAACATTATTTCCACATTCTGGAATCTTCCTGATATACCAGGGTGGGGGTTTTGGGTTTTTTTTTCCTGGTTTTGTGGGGGTTTTTTTCTTATTTTTTAAAAAAATCCGACAGCTGTTCCTCCTTACAGGGACTGTAGGACAAGTCCCATTTTCAAGTGTTTATTCCTAATAACTTTTGTTTTTAAACATCCTCTTTTGTTACTAATGGACTGAAAAGCAGCTCATGCAACATAATCATATACTTTTGTTCCTTCCAGGATTCAGGAAGGAAGTTTTTATTGAACACTTATTTCTGCACCATTAACAACAATTTGGTCTTCATTCAGTAACAGGCTTATGCAATTAAGGTTCCTTTGGTTTCCAAATGTATTTAAAGCTTCTTTTAATTTCTGGGCATGAGAACACAATCTTCCCTAGTATCTCCAAGTTCCATCATCAACTCTATGTCTTAACTAATCTGCACTAGTTAACTGCTATCTATTTCCCCTATCAAATTACTTCAGGTTCAGTGGGAAGTGAAGACAGTAGCCAATAAGCACTCCCATTCTCCTTCAGACCACTGCAATTACACCTCATTTGAAGCCTCAAACTCTGCACAGTTCACACTTGCATAGTTTCATCTAAAGCATCTTTGCTCTATGTAACTTCATTTCGCTTTGCAAATGTCCCTTTCTGACAAGAAAAACAAATCACCTTGCAGCCTGTTCATATTGCTTTCAAGAATCCAAAAGAGCTACAAGGTATATCTGCCTAGCATAAATCAGTTGCAAGACTCCTGTTACTAAGCCTACTGAACCTAAACTGCACA